TATACTAGTGTGTGTGTGTGTGTGTGTGTGTGTGTGTGTGTGTGTGTGTGTGTGTGTGTGTGTGTGTGTGTGTATCGGTATCTAAGACGGTACCCCTCCCCACCTATCTTCTATACGCGGCCCGTAATTCGCAAACTGTTTTCTCTTATAATTCAAAAACTAAGCTTCTGATAAAAATTTGGTAGAGGAAAAATCATCTTAGAATCGACTCAGGAATATGACATTTTAAGAACAAACGGTTGTTTTGAATCACCCTGTATGTTGTATTTTATATGCAAATAAAAAAGTAGTGTTTTGATCAATATTTACAACATTGCTTTTCAGTAATTTATTTTCTTAATTCTGATTTTACATTTTAATATTTTTTTCTTTTTTACTTTGTGTAAGCGCAATTTTAGTTGCTATCTTTAATTCAAGACATCTGTAATTAAATGGATAATTAATGTTAGCTTATATTTTCAAGTAATGAGAAAACCAGTGCGTAAAACGTCTCTATTTAAATTTATGACGGTATTGAGACTTGAAGTCTGGCTTAGTATCGTAGGAGCTTTAACTTTGACCGGCATTATGATTTGGATATTAGATAAATATTCACCATATAGTGCGAGAAACAATAAACGACTTTATCCCTATCCTTGCCGGTATGTATCTCGTAATATTTATTATATTATTGCTGTGTGTTCTATTCTATTATATATTATATTTACAGACTTTATTTTGCATTGTATATTACAATAATTATTACAATAATTAATTTATATATGAATTTACGAATTTATTTTGTTACCCTTTAATATATGATTTTCAATACGCACTTGAATATTTTATTCTTTTCTGTTTTTAGAAGAAAGATTATATTTAACACATAGATTTTTGCTTTCTTTTAGAGAATTTACATTGAAAGAGAGCTTTTGGTTTGCACTGACATCTTTTACGCCGCAGGGTGGTGGCGAAGCTCCAAAAGCGTTATCAAGCAGGACTCTGGTTGCAGCTTATTGGCTATTCGTTGTACTAATGCTCGCGACTTTTACCGCAAATTTAGCTGCTTTTCTTACCGTGGAAAGAATGCAAGTGCGTATCTTCTTCATTATATATTAAATTTGTCAAAATTTTATTCTTTTATTTATACTTTATAAGATTTATTGATAAAAAAATATTAATCTTTTACGAAACATATCATTTCATTAATATTCGTTAATACTTTACATTATATAGTCACCTGTACAGTCGTTGGAGCAATTGGCAAGACAATCACGTATAAATTATACCGTTCTGGCCAATTCTAGTGCTCATCAGTATTTCATAAACATGAAAAATGCGGAGGATAAACTTTATACGTGTGTAAAACAAACATAATTTCTTTGCGAAATATTTATTATTAAAATCATTAACATTATTAAACATATTTTATATTATCTGTTTTAGAGTGTGGAAGGAAATTACTCTAAATAGTACCAGCGATCAAATAGAATACCGTGTCTGGGATTATCCGATAAAGGAACAATACGGTCATATTCTTCAAGCCATTACTCAAGTCGGACCGGTCAAGACTACTGAAGATGGTTTTAAGAAGGTACGAAGAAGAAGCTAAAGAAAAATCTGTAAAAGAATTGTAACAATTCATTTAGAGTGTATCGATACTTTTCGACAGGTGATAGAAAGCGAAAATGCTGAATTTGCGTTTATTCATGATTCATCGGAGATAAAATACGAAGTAACGAAGAACTGCAATTTAACAGAAGTGGGCGATGTATTCGCCGAGCAACCGTATGCCATTGCTGTGCAGCAGGGCAGTCATTTGCAGGAAGAAATAAGCAGAAAGTCTTTAATCAATTTTCTTCCGCTTTTTTATATTGTGCTTAATTCATTCTCTCTTCAATTACTTTTAAATATCATTAATACTATAGTTATATAGTGCGTTTGGTTTAAAAAATATATATATATATATATTTTGTAACTCACTTATTCTTTTAAATAATAAAATTATAAAAAGGTTTTAAAAAAAAGTTATTTTGAAAGATGAATGAGAAGATGGCATGTTATTATTTGCGTTATTTTTAGATATAAACAGAATATCGAAAAGGAGATTCGCTCCAATCATTTTGATTTTGACATGTGTTTGACAAGATCGTTATCATGAGTAATTTTTAAAAGTTTTAAAACTTTTAAAAACTTTTTTATAATTCTATTATTTAAAAAATAACTGAGAGTGTATATATTTGCACAATCGCACTGCATTTTGGTATTTTTACTGTTGAATACTTTTAATTTATAAATTTCTATGCAATTGTGACTATAGAAACAAATCTAGAAGAAATGTATAATAAAATAGCAAAAAATATGTAATTGTTAGTTGAAATTATGTTGAAAAGGAATGAATTAGGCGCATAAATATGGCATTGTTTTCATGTGACGATGTGATCGTCGTCGCATGCGACAAATATTCGACATAAATAATATTATTTTTAGAATACTCGATTTACAAAAAGACAGATATTTTGAGACGTTGGCAGCCAAGTACTGGAATCAGACGTTGAAATCACAATGTCCAAATTCTGATGACAACGAGGGAATTACATTGGAGAGTTTAGGTTTGTTATTATTTCTTATGATTACAGTTAATATTTAGATATTAAATATATATAATGGATGCATTCAGTATAATTGTTCACTAAGTAATTAAGTAACAGCCAAATGTTAATTAATTTTTACTTTTGGATTCAACCAATTATATTCAGTTGCAACTTAATGTCTGTTCAGTGAGGGAAAAGAATATACACAACCATACGCACCTTTTTCAAAAGATGATTTCTTGAAAATTAAATTTATTTTTTGTTTATCTTTCTTCAAACATAATTTCATTCATCGGAAACATTTCTGTCTGCTGGATAGAATAGTAATTATATGATCAGTTTTCAAAATATTCGATTAAACTGTTTAATAAAAGAAGCATTTATTTTATATACAAAATTATTTAAAGTTACTATTTAAAACAATTGTAATTATATAATAATGTTTCAACTTGATATTATAATATTACTATATTTGAATAATTATTTTTTTCAATTGATTTTATATTTAATTATAACTTCTATAGGAGGTGTATTTATTGCGACTCTGTTTGGATTGGCATTGGCGATGATCACTCTGGCCGGTGAGGTTCTTTATTATCGTAAGCGTAATAATTCTCAAAAAGGGAAGCCGAATAACAAAAGGACGACCAAAGATACTGAAAATGATAGAATCATCATGCAAAAAATCGCTTCAAAACTTCGATTGAAACCTGCGCCTACTGACGCAGTTTTTAGCAAAGAACTTAGTCATACGCCGCGCGTTTCACACATTTCTGTTTATCCACGACATTTCTCCTTTAAAGACTAAATTTTTGACGACGTTTTATCATATTACGGACATGCAAATCTTATTTCTGATTAATCTCTATGTATTTTTCAATGTTTTCTTCCTTTCAATCACGTTTAATATTTAGAATTTATCACAAAATTCAAAAAGTAGTTTAAGATAAATGAATCGCATACTGTAATTGTAATTAATGTATTTGTTCACTTAATCATATTCCGACAATATTGTTCCATTATAAGATCATTATTAGTTAATAAAATATCGTGCAGAATTAAATTTATATGGCTGATTACATTTGTTTTATTTAACAAGTTATATAACAAAATTCTCAAAATTACATTTATATAAATTTTTCTTTAAACTATATTTCATTTAATATAATTATCATATGATTATAAATTGGAAAAGTAACATTAATATCTGAGTTCTTATTTTTCTCTCTCTCTCACACACACACACACACACACACACACACACACACACACACACACACACACACACACACACACACACACACACACACACTATATATATATATATA